GTGGGAGGGGGACATCTCTCAGGAATTGCCCATCTCAAGTTTGTATCTTAGACTAGTGAATCCCCAAAGGCATACTCAGAACTAAAAGAATAAACAAGAGCTTTGGGAAGACACATTGCAGAAATAAAACACCAAGCAAGTAAACAGTATTATTATCTTAAAAGAAACTGGAACAAAATGTCTTATCAATAATACAGCCCAGTCCATAGGTTACAAATTCAGGGACTATGAATTGGATAAGAATCCATGGTCAGTCTAACAGGCCTGGTCTGAACATGGGGAAGCTGTCTCCTCAGGTGTACTCTGCATCAGTTTTGTGACATTTTCACCTTCTGGTCACCAGATGGTGTGCATTTTTAGTCAGGATTAGGTGCTTTTTTTTATATGTGTCATGTGGATCCAGGAGTCTATTGCCTGGAGTTTGGCAGCAAAAGGGTCAGTTAGCAGGACCTGATAGGGGCCTTTGAAGCGAGGTTGCAAAGAGTCTTTCTGGAGGTGTCTTTTCCAATAGATGAAGTGCCAGGATGCACAGTGTGTTGTTCAAGGTCTTCATTTCCCTGGAGTGCGCTTTGAAAAGACTGCTTTACCAGACCTGGGTAATTTTGATAGAAGCACTTAGGCCTTTATAATATTTAAGTATATTTCCTTCTATCTGTTGTCAATCAAAAGAGGAGGGGCCAGGTGCATTGGGCTCTCTGTGACTATCAGAGAGTGAGAGATTCAGTTCCAAAGGAGGTGGATCTGAGATTTAGAAGGACCAATGGCAGTGCTTTTGGCCAAGGTATTTAGAGGATTTCTGCAAATTTTGTCAGTTGAGTCTTAATGCTGTTAGTGCATTTGACTAAACCTGAGGATTGAGCGTGGTCGGCGCAGTGAAAGTGTTGTCAAACTGGCCATTCAGCACAAACCTGTCAGAGCACCTGACTGGTAAAATGCATTCCCCTATCCCTGTGGGTTATGGAGGTCCTCTCGGTAAGGGTGATCTTTTCACACGGACTTTAGGCGCAGCAGAGGCAGTAGTGTGTCTGCTGGGAAAGCTTTAGTCTACTGAGAAAACATACAGACCATGACTAAAATACACTTATGTCTATGAGATGGGAAAGCTGTATGAAATCCATTTGCTAGACTACAAATGGTTCATTAGGCAATTTAAAACGTCCGGGAGCAGTTGGACCAGGATTTCCTGGCTTGTACTTTGAACAGGTGGGACAAGCAGGTACTTTTTGTGGCCTTAATAGTTCCCCACCAATATTGATACATAAATGTTATTTTGTCAGTGGACCAATGGTTTATTGCCTGTACAGTAATTAGGAGTAGAAATTTTAGAGCCTCTCGTTGGACTGGGTTGTTATTTGGCCCAGACCAGAGCGTCTTCAGTTTATCAAACCAACAATTGTTGAATTTCCAGTTTAGTTTTTTCCTTTCCTGAGGCCAGTTTTTGGGACTTTAGCCAGTTTTTCTGAGCTGTCAT